TCAGTTATATACTGTGGTGCCAGATCATTGAGAGTCTTGTTAAAAGAACTTTAAAATGGATTGTAAAAGAGTCTGGAAGCCAATGCAGGGAAGCCAAAGAAGGTGTGGATCATTTTGTTTTGTCTCACTGCTGAAATTTGGAACAATTGAACAATTTGGAGCTAGTGTACAGTAATCAGGGCGAGAGGATTTAAGAGCATGTATGACTTTCTCTGTGTTATTGAAGGACCAAATCCATAGGGATTGGAGGGTCACCGGTTTAAGCCTCCGTATGGACCAAGTATGGAGTGTGGACTAGTAGCTGGAGAGGTGCCAGTTTGCCTCCTGGGCACTGCCGAGGTGCATCGAAGCTCTGGCATTTCTCCATTTAATGCCTGTTCTGGTTCTGTTTGTGCATGTGTGTGTATTTCGGGCCTGTGTGCACATGCCAACCTTCCTCTTCTTCTTCCTCTTCTTCTTCTTCTTCTTTTGGTTTTACCTTCAAATAAAGTAATCTGCCACAAACCTGTCCATCTGTTTACAACCTATATAACTGTCTGACCACTTGTATTTGTCGCCCCAGTGGACCTGTTTGGGGGGATTTTCTGCATTTTGTGATCCCACCAAATACTTTGCTGGTCACAGTGTTGTCATAACCAATAGCTATAAAAATAAAACCCAAGTCGTAATAAATCAGAGTTTCCTTTTAAATCCTTGACGTTTGAGGAGGCCCACATGAGCTACAGGCTAGCTATGACAACAATAACTCTTAAACAGACAGCTATAAATGAGGTTTTACGTGTTCCTCACTTCTCTGAGACGTAAGCTTAGACATGCAGTGGAGACAGTTAGTTGAGGCCCTCACGGAAGAGTATCCTTTTGTTCGTGTGCGTGTTTCAGATATTGGCAGAACAATTGTAAACAGCTTCATATTTACAGGCCTGCTCATGCGTAACATTGTTTGCTCTGTTAAACAAACACAATCAGAGAAGGCAGAACATTTTCTCTTCAGCCTGACTCATTGTGATAAATGAATGCGGATTGAAACGCTGCCTTGACATTCATGAATGGAGGACGAGTTTAAACAGTCTGAAGCTTTGGATGTTCAGTTGTTGCATAATTGTTCAGTGGTTGGTATGTGAGGGTACTCGTCCATGACTTCCACAGCCACTTTCCGGAGCTTTTGGGGGCCTTAGCAAACACTCTCCATGAACTCACCTGCTTCAACATGCTGCAAATTGATGGCTATAACGTAACCATAGAATTGGGCTTCTTTTTTAGGGAACAAATGTTTTTCAGTTTCTATCACTTTCTTGTCTCCTCTGGACTATGGGGATGCAATCTGAGATTCATGACCAGTTGTAAACCCCTCATACACCAATATACTCTATATTCTTTAGTTCAGCTGATTATCTTTATCTATGCACAGAACCATGAGCAGATTATAAGACAATGGGTCCCTGGGCACAGATATGCCAAAGACCCCACCACCTCTCCAATATAGGAGCAAGAATCACAGACTTTGTGGTGGTGTTGCCTCTTTTTTGTTGTTTTTTTTGTGTCTCTTTGTCATCATAATGCATCTTCTTGTGGTTTTGTGCCCCTTTGTGCTCATTTTGTATCTCTTTAGAGTTCCTGTGTGTCTCTTTTGGTCTTTTTTCGCCTCTTTGGGGTCGTTTTAAGTCTCTTCCTGATTGGTACATGTTAATTTGTGCTACATTTTGAAGATGAAGGCCAAATGGCCCCTTATAGATTGGGGTCCTGCCTGTGTCTGTTAGGCTCATACAGTAATCCATCCAAGCACAGAACTTTGCACTGGTATTACTTTATCTATAAAGCCATCCTTGGACTGCAGCCCACTTATTTATCCACTTACATTTTATGTAAAAAGTGCTGTCATAGTCTGCACACTCAGGGATTCGTCACTCTTTCCATCCCCTCTGCTCATACAGTACTTGAAGAAAAGGCCTTCTCCTGCTCTGCCCCCACAGCCTGGAATTCGCTACAGCAGGAACTGAAGCTGTCCAGTATTTTTCCCTCAGGGGATTTTACACTTTAAGAAACCTGGAGAGCTGTAGGGGTTTGTTCTTGTCGTTTTTTTAACTACCACTTTGGCACTTTTTCATTTGAACGTCCTGTTTACCTGTGACTTTGTGGTGAATGCTGCTCACCAGGTTTCTCTTGAGCATGAGACCTGATGTCTCAGTGACATCACCTGTTTAAATAAAGGTTAAGTAACAAATAAAATAACCCAGTGAAATAAATCTGCACATTTAATCCCCAACGACTCCAGTTACATAATGCCCATTGTGGCTTTAATGGATTTATGTATTCAGATAAAGGATTACAAGGCAGGGGCATTAGGGAGCAGCGCCTGTACTCACCGGAGCTGTGACTGAACAGCGGCACCAAGTGGTCAGAAGTGAGTACTGCAGCGTGGACGTGAAAAGGGATTAGTGAGACACAGAGATGTAGTGGTAGTTGAGGTGGGTTAGGTATTAGGTAGATGTTACTGAGGAGGACGTGGATATACTCTCCTTTACATTTTTAAGGTTTTTTTGGCTTATAGGTGGGTATACTGTCAACAGCAAGAGAAATAGTAGGTATACCCCCCACACCACTGGTGAGACCCACGATAAATAAGCAAATTCACAGTTTTTTGTGTTGCAAACTTTGGCCCTTTAATGCAAATTTGTTTTTCAAGCTTGGGTTCATCTTTTGTGTAAACCACAGACGTGGCTGCATCATTAAAAGAACACTGAAAAAGCTTTTACTTTAACTTAATTAGGCTGTATGAATTATTCAGACCCGCTAATTCTGTTAATGTGTTAGCTCTTGACAGGTTGGACTTTACCCAGAATACAACAGCAACCATGTGCAGAATACAGGCCTGTGAATAATAAGGGAGGGAGTGTTCTGACAATTTAAAAAAAAAAAATCGACAAATATGTCTGGAAGCTTGATGTCACCCTGAAGTGAGTCAGGGTGATTCTCAGAAAAGCAGACTTAATGTTGCCAGAATATGGTTTGTTGGGTGGTGCCAGTCATCACATTCATCCGTCAGGTTCACTTCTCAAATGCCACTGATGTCTGATTCACTGCAGAGATCGTCTTCCACTGGGGCTGATGATGTGCCTGTTACCAAATGGAAATGGTAATGATATTTTTTAAAGCATTAAATCAGCAGAGTTATAAGGACACCTCAGTGCTGTGTTAATAGCCTACAGCAAACAACTGGATCTCATATATCTGTACTCGACGAGGAGCAAATTTGTGTTCCAAACATTGCACTTTTTCTAAATGTAATTACGTTTCAAAGGGAGCATTTTGCAGTACAGTTTCTGCATACCTAGACAAGAAAGATGTGGATGTTTTTGCACACTGATTGAGTGGATATAAAGCGAGTAACTGGACCGCATCTTCCAATTTATCCCTCTCTTATCAGTTGGGAGCCAAATCTGGGACTTTGTGATTGTATCTCATTAAAGTGACACTCAAGCCCAAAAAATATTTGCAGAGTGGGAAACGCTCCCCGTAGACCACTTGGTTTATGAAATATAAACCGCAGTTTCTTCACAGTCACAATTTCCTAAAGCTCAAGGTGACATCTTAAGAGTTCTTGTCTTGTTCGAACCAAAATCAAAAGATACTCTGTTCAGCATCACATTAAATTAAGAAAGCAATTAAGCAATTAAGGAACTTGAGCCAGCAAATGTTTGAAAATTCACTTACAGCAGAGATGTGGAGCATTGGCAAAATCAAAAAAGACTTCCAACTTCAATCGACACCAGTGACTTGTGACTTCAATTGGACTTGACTTCACTTTTGACTTGCAAATATTTGATACCTTTCATTTTGGAAAACAGCGTTATGGACATTTTTTCCAATAGGAGAGGAATTAAATACAAGACAGGATGGACACAGCCAAAATTCATTCAGTTATAGGACTGGATAATAGTGCTGTAGGCTGTGAAATTATAATGTCCACAATACTTTTCTATGGTTACGTTCAGTAGCAGTTGTTTCAATAAATAAATTAAATATTTATAAAGCATTATTTTTTGTAAATTTAGTATATTATTACTTTGCTTTTAAGATGGCATTACATCTAGTGAATAGCACATTACAACTTTTTTAGGACTTAAAATTCAAAGTTAAGGACTTGGGATGTCAGCCTTGACTTGGGACTTTAATCCAGAGACTTGACTGTTACTTGTCACTTGCATAACAATGACTTGGTCTCTCATCTGTGTTTCAGTTGTGGACTGGAACCATACAGATGGTCAACAGAGAGGTGGCTTGGTTTGAGATGTTTCTATGATTATTGTTCAACCTTTTTACAGCCACCTTTCAAGCCTACACAGGTTCAGTGTTAAATATTCAAAAATTGGATTCTGTGCAGAGTATCACTTTGTTTCCCAAACCTCAACTTGCTGCCAGAGGATTGAGTGTACTCATCTTTCACTAACCAACTTTTGTCTTTCACATCTTCTCTCTACAACACCTACCAGAGTGCTGACCTCTATCTGTCCATCTTCTTCCTCGTGCTCTGCTGTCACGTCAGTCGAGAATATCTCCCGTATGACAGAGACCTGTTGCATAAGATCACAGACAGTGAGCCCGCTTGTGCTCTGACATCAGCAGCAGCTTTATCCCTCCATCAGCTGGTCCAGACATACAGGTACACACTGCTGGCCTGTCCCATTGTCATTCAAATGTTGGGTTGGTGATTGAAGCGCTTATCTCTCCTAATCGGAGCGTGTAAAGGTATTACTGCTGAGGGAGAGCGTCGCCACACCAACTTTGATATGGAAAATCACATCTGTGAGCTCCCAAACAACATTATCTACAGAGAACTGAATATACCAGGTAAAACCTTTCCTGCAACCCCCTCCATCTGTTGTCTTGGATTAGCTCCATGCTTGTTCCCTGTTTTTCAGATCCTCAAAGACAGACAGAGCAGGGAGGGCGAGGGGGGGATTAGAGAAGGGAGGAAAATAAAGATCCGAACACACATCTTGTTAAAAGTAAGATTTGTAAGCTTATTATTTTGTTATCATGATCATTGTTATAACCTCTGTTATGGTTTGTTCAGTTTACAGTTTATTTTCAAGTTCATTTAAAGTCATTCCAGTCGAAGGTAAACATGATTGTAACTGTTGTTTCCAACACTATTAAATGCTTTTTTTTTTGTTTTGCCAGACAACAATCGGTCACACTCGCGCTCGCTCATGCACACATGGGAAGAGCAGAAACAAAGAGACTGTTGCTCACTCGCTCACCCATTCATTCGCTCGCACACACATACTGACACCATCACAAACAAAGACAGACAGTGTCTCACCCTAAAGCTCCTGCACACAGACATGAAGTGATTAACAGAAATGAGCTTTGATTCTTACTCTCCCTGACACACACACACACACACACACACACACACACACACACACTTTCTTGCTCTCGTGTCTAAGTTCTTAAGTGCAACTTCTTGAAGAGTGATTTACCCTCTCGCACAGCTCTTCAACCCTCCCACTCCACACTAGAACCCAAAACCCTTCCTACATCGCCCTCCCACCAAGAGCCATAAATACACCTGGGCTGCTTTGCAGACTGTATCATAACTACATGTTCCTTGTTGAGGTGACAAGAGCGCTTTTACATTTCTATAAATTTAAAAACATGGGCTTTTGCTGTCCAAAGTTTTGAGAAAATAATCTAGCAAACTGATATACTTTGGAAAAAAGCCACATTATTCTCAAACTACGAGCACACAATGATGTAAAAAATACCTGAATTTAGAATAAAATCCTATATATCAGTGGCTCCCAACATGGTGGACCAGACCCCCTACAAGGATGCAACACTAGTTTCCAGCTTACCTTAGGAATTACTGGGTAAATCTAGGTTTATGTAGTTTGCGTGCAAGAAAATGATGTAATCATCCCTTTGCATGAAGCGCAAATGCTCTGAAAGTTGTTGCAGCACTTGATTGTGAACCTCTGAGTTTTTTAGACTTAACACCCCTTGCACAGGCTTAACTTTTCATTTCAATAGGGCAGACTAGTCAAGCAGATTTGCCTCTACAGACATCTCTACGACTCTTCATCGAGAGATTACAAGGACAGTCAAATGGCCTTAGCTTATTGGAAAGAAACAGCCACCATAAAGGAAAGAAGAGGCTTTTTTGCTTCAGTGTGTGGAAGAATATGAGACATGGCGGTCATGGAAAGAGTGGCGACCCAGGGTGAAACAAAGCCGTATGACAATTTCGACTTTCGAGGGAAGCGACAGCACACAAATGTGTTGTTTGGTGGCACTACAGTGTGTAATACAGTTGCCAGGCAGCCTAGTTTTCAAGTAACGTTCTTCCTCTTTGACTTCTTGCTTATTTCCAGAAGATCCTGTTTGTGCATCCCCTGGTGCTTCGGAGCATATTGCAACAAACGCGTTTAATGCAAGCTCACTCCCACACGCCATCTACAGAGGTGTCGCGCAAGTTGAACAAAGCTAGAGTATGATCATCACTTTGTTGAACTGGTCACTGACTCCAATCCAAATTAACCCTAGTGACATCATCAGGGTTTTATTCCCTCCAGAACTGAAGGCATTTTACAACTGTTTGAATAATATTCCCTGTGACAAGTTAACTCATCCCACTGTATGTAAGTGGTGAAGTGTCCTTTAAGGGGGTCACAAGCCAAAACAGATGGGAACCACAGCTACTATATATGATTTGTCTATATATTTATCTTTCTTGAAATCATACTAAGTTAACTTTAAAGTAAGAGACTCACAGAGTGCAGCCCAAGTTTACGTATGGCTCAACCCACCCAATTCTCCAGCTTTTAAACCCCCGTCTTCCCCCTCAAGATAACCAAAAATACACCACAGCAAACTCAACAAAACAATAAAAAAACATAATAAAAACAACCACAAGGAAACTGAGCTTCAAGTTTGTAAAAATGCTTACATCACATTTCACCTTGGCAAATTTCAAGACAGTTTGTTATTCCATTCTGTTGTCCGTTTGACATTTACACGAGTACTTGAACGCCTCACGTGCCGGTGGGTGAGCCGCTGCGTGACCCGGTTCGGCCAGCTGTCGGCTTGCAGTCCATCATCGTCACCTTCATTATCATTATAATCATTTTCACCTTCATCATTGTTATCAGCTACTATAAGCCATGCCCTACTAGAGTCCATCGTTGGCAGGGTGGGGTAACCATGGTGAATAAGGTGCTAGTTGCTATGGAAACGCTATTCTGAAGCAACCGACTGGTACAGTTGTTTGAGTTTTGAATTGCCGCACCTCCCCACCAAAGCACTTGGTTTGTATGTATTACTTGTTGCTTTAGTTTGTGTTTTGATTTTTTTTTTATTTTGCATTTTCATACTTATAAGATGTACAGTATGTGGATGTATTTTCAGGCTGTTAGTACCATTTAAAATACTCTCTCTCACTCTCTCACACACACACACGCGCATGTGGCACACTCACACATATGTTTGTCTCTTTCAAGCGCACACCACTCACTCACACAGCAACAGAAAACCGTTTACATGTGGCATCTGACGGATGGGTTTACAGAGATGAGATTGGTGGAGCAGGCTGCTACACCAACACTGATCAGTGGAGAGCTTCTTATTGTCCGGGACTGGGCCTGGGCGTAGATGCATGGGTGAGTGACTGTCCTTCGCGCTTCCTCCTCTTGCTCTCCTCCAGACGGCCTGCAGTCGGGCTGAGAGGAGGGCTGTATTGCTGAGTGTATCCATGGCTGCTCCGTAGCCATCGTGTGCTTCGTTAACCTCGGAGATGACAGAGGACTAACCGAGTACTTCAAAGACAGGACAGAAAAGTAACACGGCAACTAATAACATCAACAAACCCTTGCGGTTTCTGTGTCAATGGCACATCTACAGTAAATCCCCGTTTTCTTTTCTTTAAGTAAATGATTCATCGTTTAAATGCTTTGAATTCCCCTCCCGACCCCATCCAGCCCTGTTGCCTTCATTAGTGCTGGAGACTGATGGTGAACACAGGATGACACAGCAGATGGTGGATATGACAACTAAAACACTGGCGTCTGGAGTCCCAGGGTGCGTTTATGAACTATCAGCTACTTTGACTAGTCTCCTACACAGGACCTGCGCAGTTTGTCAGCTGGTTCCTTTTGCCCCCCGTCCGTGGACTGGGACAAGTTCCCAGCATCAAGATCATCAACAACAATAACAACAACAACAAAAAAAGGCAATTTCAGTTCAGTTCTGATGAAATCTATCTGATTCAGTTCATTTGAGTTCAGTTTAATTCTTGTTGCAAGAAACTATGGCAACTAGCCCTAAGGAAGTGTTTCAGCCAATCAGATCCAGGGGAAAGTCTTCAAATGGTTTTCAATTGGGTGAGTGGATTTGATGCTTTTTCGTCTTCTATTTTTTTTTTTTTTTTCTTTTACTTGGACTTCAGCCCCGCCTCTCCTGTTGTATAAATGCTTTGTGTGGTGTGCATGATTCAACAAGCTCAACCTGTGGCTTGTTCAGACACACACATACACACACAGACACACGCTCACACACCTGCATCTGTATGCACAGGCTGACTTTAATGGAACACACAGTTCAGTCTGTGTCACCGAGTGCCTGAAGGTCTTTCAACTCCACCAAAACCACACTCCACTCAAACACACAGCTGTACAAACACACACGCGCACACGCGCACACACGCACACACACACACACACACACACACACACACACACACACACACACACACTGTGATGCTTGAAAACTCTCATTTCTTGCTCCTCTTGCCTTCTGCTCTATTTGTGGTGTTGCAACTCTCCTCTCTCTCCTCCTGACTCCCCCCCTCCCTCCCCCTCCTCAGCTCTCCCACCCGCTGATACTGTACACCCTCCCAAGGCTAGTTGGCATGGTGACGCTGATGGGATGGCCGTTGCTAGGAGATGAAGAGAGCGGCCAGAAGGAGCATCGTCACGGTGAGGAGAAGGCGATCCCTGGATGGGCTGCTTCCGCTGACGCTCTTCTCCAGCTTGGGAACAAAGGGGTTAAATTCATCTGGAAGAACAGAGAGAGAAAGAAAAGGGGGGAGAGAATGAGAGAGAATGATGTCTTTATATTGTCTCATTACAATGCTAGCGGAGGCTTTTTCTGCACTTGATAAACTTGAAAGGAAAACAAGGAAAAAAGAGATAAGTTTATCTGTGCTTCTAATTGAGCTATAATCTGCTTACACAGCACAGCTTTGACTAAAACACTTGTTTTTTATAATGAAAAAAAAAAGGCAGCTTACAGCACAAAGTCACACTCCTACTAAAATGTTATAAGTCCACTGAAAAGACCATGGCAGACTGCTGCATCTGTTACCAGAGTTATTGTTCTAATAAAGAGACACACTCCCAGTCACCCTGCAACACTCCATTCTTTACGCCACATGATGCATATTGTCACATTTTTGCATTGTTAAATGTTGTTCCAGGTCATATACTTTGACATCACTGATAAGCATCAAGAAGAGAATAAAAGAGAGGAGGCATTTGTCACCAGCAGATATAAACCTTCTTTAAAACCTTGGTTTAAAAGCCTCTAGGGAGCTGAAGTCGATTGCAGGTTGTTGAGAGTTTTGGGTGTTGATTCTCAATCTCAGAAGCAGTTTAGAGCTGTGACATCGTCAGCTTAACTGATGCACCTGAGCAATCAGCTGGCACACCTGGTATCAATTAGCTGCTGATACCTTTTCCTGGTGTCTTTCAGTCTATTAAATGAAAGCTGGGACCCCAGGTGAGCTATGGAGTGTGACACATGCACAATGTAACTAGGAGTGCAATAGAAATAAAGGGATGGTGTCCACTCAGGTGCTATTTGGGGTACATTCTTTTTAGCCTCTTTAGGTGCACCTGGCTTGACAGAACTTTTTGGGTATGCTAGAATGGATAGAGGCCAATATACAGTAGAACATTTTCATATAGAATAAAGATGGCTGTAGACGACTCAGTTTTTAAAGGCTGTAGACGACTCTACTCTAATATGTTTTAAAGGGACAGTTCACCTTGAAATCAAAAATGCGTATTGTGTCTTCCCTGTAGCGCTGTTTATCAGTCTATATTGTTTTGGTGTGAGTCGCAGAGTGTTGGAGATATCAGCCATAGAGATGTCTGCCTTCTCTTAAATATAATGGAGCTAGATAGCACTCGGCTTGTGGTGCTCAAAGCATCAAAACATACACTTGAAAAACTCAACGGCAATGTCTCTTTACAGAAATCATGACCCAGTTTCATGTAGGACCTATTTTCTTTCTACCTAAGTGCATCCACCAATAGTATCACAGCATCTACTCATGGACAAGAGACGTAAACATCAATGGCATCCTCCTTGGCCGAGCTATAACGTTAGCTAGCTCAGTGGTGCAAGGTGAGCTAGCAGTATGATGCACACTCCCTTCTACATGGTGATGAGTGTAGTTCTGTAGAATTAAAATAGTTCCTACATGAAGCTGCTCACAACAAGTGAACAGTGGACTCTCTTGAATAACTGGGTCATGATTTCCTAAAAGAGACACGGCTTTTTAGTTTAACAAATGTATGTTTTTGGTGCTTTGAGCACCACAATTCTAGTGCCATCTAGTTCCATTATATTTGAGAGAAGGCAGACATCTCTATGGCCGATATCTCCAACACTCAGCAACTCACACCAAAACAATCTAAACTGATAAATGGCACTACAGGTAAAAGGAAAAATATGTATTTTGGATTTTGGTGTGAACTGTCCCTTTAAATATCAGTGGATCCACTTGTTTCTTAATGAGCATGTGTTATTAAAAAAGGAAAAATGTTCAGTCTGCTCCAAAGACAACAGGACAGCAGTGCCATGGCAGACTGCTGCAGCTGTTACCAGACAGCTCTCATTGTTCTAATAATTCCCACTCACACACGTGCATACTTTAACACAAGGGCACACTGTATATACTGTAACCCCCCCTGCCCCAATCCCCCTCCATGTACACCTGGTGATGCCCTAAAAATAGTTTGCGGCCTTTTGTTGCGAGCTCCACGCTGAGTGTTGATGTCTAGCCCGTGTACAATAACACCAGACAGTTGGCTTCACGCCTACACTTATGAGACACACGTGCGGCCAGACACACCCTCTGTAGTCACTTGATTAATGAGACTGGAGACCAGACAGAAGCACAATTTTCTGTCTGTACACGGGACGGCTGATGCTGATTAGGAGCTATTGTGTTAACGCTCCAATTGCATCGCAGTGAAGTGGGGATATTCTCAGTGTTTCCACGCAGCTCCGTATCTACGCTCCAGAATGTTTCCAGCTGCTCTGTGGGTCAGACAGCAGAGTAATGACTAGCTGACACCTGGTTTTAGAGATGGCCTCTTCTGGTATGCTCTGCTGGCCAACCTAATGAGGTCTATGCAGCAGCGGAGCTCAGGTTAAATGCTTTGACCGCTCTGTAACCGAGCATGGAGCCAAGGGGTCGGGACGCTGTTACTCCGGCGCTGACTGACAGAGCAGTGTGGTTTTGAAGACACAAAAAGCAGACTGTGGAGCATCTCGCAAAACTGGTTCTAACGTGTGACTCTACTAATCGCCTCATTACACATCTACACACACACACACACACACACACACACACAGATGCACGCACACACTGTCTCTCACTCACTGTCTGTCACAGATAAACACATAATTATTGGCATGTTTTTGGCATACTTGTGCAGAAGACATGTGACGTGCATCATGAGCTGAGAGGACTGTGTGTTACAAATGAAAGTGTGTGTGTGTGTGTGTGCCACATTTTGGAGCAGAAACGCAGGCAACATCCGCCTGATAATTAGGAAACTTAGACACCTAGAGGCGTCTATGAATTTGAATGTCATGTTGACAAGTTCAAGGAGATATCTTAGTCTCTGATTGTGTTTATAAGAGTCTGTGTGTGTGAGAGAGTGTGTGTTTTTACTGAGCTAAAATGTAAAAATGTATATGACACAATACATTATGCATGTATGTATTATTGGGCAAACAAGCTAATGACACATTTAAAACAACATATCAAATTTGACCATTTAAAACCCCAAACACTGTGTTTTACGTATTGTTCTGAAAAGCTGAATCCACTCTACATTGTCACGCAACTCATGAGTCTTGTAATGCATGCTTTATGAAAATAATTATCTTTAATTGTAGTTGTCAGAGAGGTGTTGACTCATCTCTGTGGTAATCATAGAAGTTATAATTTGTGGTGTGCTCTGTTCAGAATGTCTTCATTAAAGGGTTATAACAGCAGTATCGCAACTCCGTATAGTTCAGGGACTTTGGAGACATAATTGACACAATGGCATCTTTTATTAGACCCTCTCTGACTGGTTAATACCCATGATTTTCAACTCAAAACTTAATGAAGCTCCACAAAGACCCACAGACGAGAGTACATAACTATTTTTAGAGGCTGTTTTCCTCTTTGTGGCTGTTAAATTGACTTTAACATGTAAAATGAGTGGCGTGCCAGTGACTATAGACCTTTTTGTTTCTACTCTGTTGCTAGGGCAACAGCTTTGGTCCCTGTTTACTTCCTGTCAGCCTCTGCATTAATAAACATCCCAACAGGAAATAGAATGTAGAATGTTTATGTTGTCAAGTTTGAAAAGGTCTTCATAAAAATAAATTAAAAAAATGAACTAATTTTACATTTCTAAGCAACCGTGTACTTTTTAAAAAGTGAATGTGAACATCTGCTGGCATGTGACAGTGTCACGGTGTCCATATATGTAATTTAACTGCACCCTCTGGCGTTAGACTGCATGTAAACAACAAAAATAAGCATCATTTGGGAAGTGAAACTGTTGAGTTAATTATACAGTCCATGTGATTTTCGCCCCATGATGCACACTGTCACATTTTTATATTGTGAAATATTGTGCATTGTGCAGTCGTGTCCTCATAAGCATCAGGTAGAGAACAAAAGAAGAAGCATTTTCCACCAGCAGATCATAACCTTCCTTTCACTGTGGTTTAAAAGCCTCTCGGGAGCTTAAGTCAATTGCAGGTTGCTGAGAGCATCGGGTGCTTATTTTAAATCTCAGATGCAATTTAAGGCTGTGACATCACCAGCCTAATTGATGTACCTGAGCAATCGGCAGGCACACCTGGTATTAATTAGCAGCTGATTCCTCCTGCTGGTGGTTTGAAAGTGGAACAGGAAGCTTGAAACTGCAATTTCATCATGTTAATGTGTCTTCTCGCTTCCCTCGCTTGCATTTCTTTCCTCGTGTCTTAGTCCCGCCCACGGGAGATGCGAGCGGAGGAGGCGAGGAAAAGAAGCCAGGATAGAGGAGCTGAAGCTGCCAAGTGAGAAATCAGTCTTTAGCAATGTCAGTTACTCATGACGTGCTGCACAGCTGTATCACCTGTCAAACCGACCTTTTATTTAAGAATTTCAAAACCTTACATATCTTTTATAGATCTCTCACAGGCCTAGAAAAGTCTTACATATACAAGAGACCTTTATTCATTTAGGGCCTGGTCTAGAGCCCAGTCAGCGCTCTTAATGTTGCTGTCTTTTTGTTCTGTTCTCCACTTCCTGGTCTTCGTTTTGTCTCCTCTCCCAGTTTTCCAATCAACTTTAAATTTGTTTCTAAAAGTGCCAGGGGGTGCTCAGTTAAAAGCAGCGCAGAGTGGCCTTGTGGGAGACCAAGGAGAGCGGGAACAGTTTATTTCTTAAAAGAGCACAGTTTGTTTTAACATGTGTCATGTGTTGGTGGTTATAGTTATGGTAAGTTAAAGTTAATTTTTGTTAGTGCTGGTTTCCGTGCAGGGTTTCCTTTTACTTTTAACTTACTACAACTCTTTGCTTTGTGTTTATTGTTTCCTTTTTCTCAAACAGTACTTTTTCACTCATCCACTCCCTACACAGCTGAAACTACAGATTTCTCCCATCAATTTGTGTAGCTTGTTTTGATTGCTGTTTAGTTAATAAATCACTTATTTTGTTAATTTACCTGTGTGTCTCCCGATTTATTGCTGTTGTTGTAAATATTCCTTTGAAATCCTGTAGTTTATGTATGGATAAGTGATATCACTGTGCATTTGAGGGGTTCGAAGATCCTCCATGATAGTGGAGGATGATCAGTTTCCAGGTTATGGTAGAAGAGAGGAGGTGAGGAGGCATAAGATACTCTTATATGTTTTAAATATCAGTTTACATGGTGGTACGGTAGTGCAGTGATTAGCATTGAACCTGGGGTGGGGGAGCCCATGGTGGAGTCTGCATGTTCTCCTCGTGTCACCGTGGGTTTTCTCCAGGTTCTATGTCTTCCTCCCACAAAGACATGCACATCAGTTAAATTGGTGACTCTAAATTGGCCGTAGGTGTGAATACGAGCATAAATGGTTGTCTGAAGGGAAGCAGGAAACTTTGCTGATATTGAACCAGCTGTGGGGCATCGCATTGTGCGCAAATGAATGTTGTTTGACTTCCCCCTGGAGATCCCTGCCCATCCGGCGGCAGAGGTCCGGGGGCAAAGCCAAACACGGTTCATCTGCACACACTGTGATGCCACACAGCTGGTTCAATATCAGCAAAGTTTCCCTTTATATTCATTGTCTTGTGTGGCGATCAGCAGTGATGTGGTGGTTCACTTTTACACTGTGACCTGTAGCCTATAGTTCGGCTTTAGCGTCTAACTATCTTTGTCTTTTTAACCTGTTGTTGCTGCTGAGTCAGTTTGACATCCTGGATATATCCTTCAAACACAGACTTTAGACCCCTCTGTCTGCTTCTCTCTGTAATCACTTTTTCATTTTTCCATAAATATGATAATATGTCTTCAGGGAGTGCAGTTAGTTACAGTGTGGGCTTAATGCTTACTCCGACAGCTTGATGGACCATTGCAAAGGGGCGGGGCTTAGTGAAAGGTCAACGTCACATGAGCAACAAACATATAACACAACTTCTTTGTACAAAATATGTTATAAAAATGGAGACGACATTCAGTTTATGCCGTGTCCTGCCTACTGATACCCAACCTGATGTTGCTGGCAAAGTAACCCAAGCACACTGTCGCTTAAAGGAGTGCTAATTGCTACAATAAACCCCATTAAAGAAAGAGCTTCTGATTTTCTTCACTAATGGCCGCAGCTGATCGTCAGATGCAGTAACCTGAGCCAACAGGGTTGGTAAATGAGTATCCTCCCACTGAAAGCCATCAGTAATCACATGGCTGCACGGGGAGCTGCTAGCGCCATTCCATCTGTGTTGTAAATGAGATCTAAATGAAATCTAATACTAGAGGCCGTATTCAGGAGGGAACCACTGTTGGGCTGTAGACACTGATTGAAAGGGGCAGCGCCCAGGAAATAAACTGTGAGCAGTGAAGGGGAGAGAGACGGGGTGGTTTACAATATGAGCCTGCAACATTCAGCTTAGTTAAACATTTTCAGACGCGGTAATCAGGCAGATTTGAACCGAGCAGTTTGCGCGTCGCCTCGTGTTTGTGTGAATGTGCTGACGTGAACTTTGAATAACAGTAATTAAAACTATGATGTGATGAGTCTAATCGGCAGTCTGGAGGACCGAGAACGAGGGAGGGGAATAGGAAACTCTACTGCTTCTTTGTTTTCAGTTCATTTCACAGCTCCCTGCTGATTTCCTCACTTCCTCTTGCACCACTTGAGTTATCCTATTAATTTAATTGGCAACACAGCACTACAGGTGAAAATGACCCACAGGAGCTGGGGTAATTTGTGCTCCGCTATTGTGTCAGCCGTTCACTTAATATTAACGGTATTTTCATGTGGCTCACATTCCTTATCTCTTCAAGTACATCCAATACAGCTAGTCTTTTGTTGAAATAACCTTTTATTTTCTGTATATTCTTCTCTGTGACTTGTAATTAAGTACACACTGTGTGATCTTGAATAAAACTGAACATTTTCTACGACTGGAAAGAGCACCTTTTGCATTTACTGTGTGTTATTTGCAGAAAAGGAAGGAAGGTGCACAAGTGGTGGCAATACGTGATGAGAATGTATATGTATTGCAGTGTAGTGGCAAACAAAAGTATGGGCGCCAATCTGCGCTTACGGAAAGGTAAAAAACAAACAACAAATATAATTTTGGAATAAAATCCTCTATTTTAATACAGCTTACATCACTGTGATAGCATTAATGCACACTATAACCCTGAGATTAATATCGTGCTGGGAAAAAAATATGTTAAAGGAGGGAAAACTCAATTTCACACATCAAAAGTTGAATAAACTGAGTTTT